GAACTTCTTATTCTCACTTGTTATATGACAATATTCAAGAAAATAAGTTGATGTATACAAGTTTTAAAAACAATTTGAAATTGTGAAACCATTAGAGAAAAAAACACACAACTATTTACACTTGGATACTTATTTTAACAACCATGTGATCCTTAAAGCTTTTTACTAAAAGTTTTCAGACTGGAACGTAGATCCTGTAAACAATGTCAAAACCATTATTATGTCTATTTTTTTCAAGCAGTATTAGAGAACTGGTGAATGGACAAAGGTCGGTGACTGCATTCAAATCAGCACAATCTTCCTAGACAGCTGAATATATAGGCCAAAAATATAATACAAAACCAAGATGTAGACTGACAAAACAAAACTGCTTTCAATATTTAAAACTAGTTGTCTTCCCAATCGCACATTTTGGCAAAACTTCATGACAAAATTTGGGTTTGGCAGTGAAAGTCAAAAGTTATTTAAAATGTGGCATAATACAAGTTTAATGTTTTTGAAAATAATACAATTTTTACATGTGTTTTAAATATATTTTTAGAAGTGTGAACACCAAGCTCCTTTTTTAAAGATAACTAGCAAAAGAAAATGTTTAAGATATGGTTATTATATATAAGGAGAAGTCATTACTAACTTATATGTTAAATGTGCACATAATTTAATTATCTAGAAAACATTAATGTATCAAAAACTACCTTGTAAAGCTCACAATAAAATTAATCTTAAAATTTAAGTACAATATGTAATCTAATCTATACAGAATAACACATTTTCACTATACCAGGATCAATCTACCACATATCAAGCATGTTACTTAGGAAGCCATAGGATACTTGACATTCTGGTTAATAAGTTCAGAAAAATGAAAATGGCCTAGTGAAATGCATACACAAAAAAGTATTTCAATAAAGTATTATTCTAAGACAAGTCAGTCGTTTTTAAATATTACCATTATGGATGCAAATCCTGGTATAATCTCCAATAGGAAATGTAGAATTGTTTAACTCCATGCTTTTTATTACACTCAAAAATGATTTTTCTGAATTGACAATGCTTATAAGCCTCCATGATTCCCAAGTTGAATTTATATTTATGTCTAATATATTTCTAACCAAGATTTAGTTAAATGATTCTTTAAGCTAAAAACCTTATATGAACAAATGCCAGCGCCATACTGACTTATGTCAAAAAGTCATATTTTACACTTTGATTCTAGAATCACTAAATTTTGACCTTTAATAATTATCTAACTCAGAAAGTTTATTTTGTTTTCACTCATATATTAAGGTGGAATTCATCATTCATTATGTTCTGCCAGCTTCTGAAATTGCATGGATCTGTTTGAAATGAATGGAGCATATTAGACTCACTTGAACACTTTAGTGTCTTGGCTAAAGAGGACACCCCTACTTCAAGTAGTATTTTAATGCTTTTGTCTAACTTAATGAAGATGGATCATGTTTCTTCAGATCCATACTTTAAGCTTATTGCCAACTTTAAAGGCACAGTTAGGGAAGGTTTCACGACAGATTTTCTGTTGGTGATGATGGCATAACTCTTTCACGAACAGATGAGCCGATTCCCATGATGGCAATGATGTTAGATCCCAGGTACAAGTCTTTGTGCATCTTACCAGAAGAAATAAAGACAGCAGTCTCAGATAATGTTGTCGAACGTACTGAAGAAATCAATAGCTGTATCAACCAAGTCTACTTGTGGCAAGTGAAAATTGAGCCACATATTGTTTCACCTCTTGTAAAGAAGAGAGTCTTAGATTAAATTTTAGGTAACATTACTGACTTAACACAAACTGAAACACTGTAAACTTCAAGTGTTTATACTCCAATAATGGAAGAATTTCAAAAGGCAAAAGTTAACACAGCTGACCCATTGATATGGTGGAAGGAAAACAAAGATACATTTCCCCAACTGATACATTTAACCATGGAATATTTATGTATATTCTGTAACATCAATTTCCAGTAAGCATAAATTTTCACAAGTAATCAAAACTCTGAACCAGCTGTGAGCAAGTCTTGACTCATAGTTGCTTAATCAACTCCTGTTCCTACATAAGAATATGCAAGTGTCAAGTGTCTGTCTCAATACTGCCAGAAGCTGGATAGTTGTCTTTGCCACTAACATTTACCAGTATAATGCCAGAATTAAAACAGAATCTGTTCTATTGCCATTCCTGTCCAGACTAGATGGAACTTATACTTACATGTAAATTAAACATATTTTATTAGTTAATAAAATCCCTTTGCAACTGTGTTGAAAATGTATTTTTCTTCATACCTGTTGACACTAATGTATATAATCTTACTTCTATTCAATTTCTAGACTTATGTATTGCATAAGTGATATTATTGTCATATATGGGTGTGTCATGTGACTTATGACAGGCATAAGTCACACATGCTGCACAGCATTTTCAACAGTCATTTACATAATACATAAATTGAACTGCTAAATCAAGAATAAATTCGTGCAGATACCATTATCTAAAATATTCACTACATTGTTTCTACTTCTTCTGTTTGACTATTTTTATACCTGCATCATGTTTTCTAATGTTGGATTCAAAATAGTTGATGATTATCCAATTTGATTCAATTTTATGAAAAAAAAATTAATTGATGTCCAAATTGTCACAGCCCTAATTATTTTATTTCTAACACCACACTTTTCTACTTTGCCCCTTTTATTTTTGTACATTGGATGTCAGTCACACCTCATTCCCATTCAAAGCCAACCAGAAACTTCTGCATTGACAAGGTTGGCTATAATAAATATCCATTAAATTTATAAACATAATTTCATTAGTTTTTTATAATTTACACTTCCTACTAATTCCCAATTCACTCCTGAAGAAATATGATGTACCTTCCAGAAACATTCAGCATATTGGGTTTCTTGTTATGTGATTAAACTGGTTTATTGTCCTACACAATTTCTTAGAACCATGATTGTAATATATATATATATATATATATCATGCACACACATGAAGTTGAAATGTTATAATTTGAAAATATTGGAAACTGAAAAATTAAGTTTGGTTTTCTTTTTACACTTTCTAGAGTTTTAAATGTCTACAGTACTGTTTAAGAACCAAAGAGAAGCTTTAAAAACTTTTGGAACATTTTTTGATAAAGCATTAATCATAGTTACATAATTAAAAGCATTTTTTTTTTTTGCAAAAAATGCAATAGATTTCACAAGTTATGAAGAACTAAAAGTACTTAAACTTTGATCAAAGTTATTATACAAGATAATTTATGTTATTGGAAGTAAAATTAACTTTTTTATACAAGTATAATTTCTCATAAAATTTGTTATGGGGGAAAAAAAGTCAATGACATGAATCAACTAACTCATATTCACTTTACATCAATGATAAGGATATGGTATTCAGACCAGATTACTGAAGTTCATGTACAAGTATAAAATATAATAGGAATACTTATCTTTTTTATTTCTTTGTTTAGATTAGATTTTAGCTGTAGATATAAGGTTTGTTATTTTAGGCAGGGTGCCAATTAAAAAGTATTGTAGAAGTCCCTTCTTGCATAACCATGTTCAAAGTCCAACTTAAAAATTACAGTATCTCATTCTGAGTAAGATACAGGTAGAATGGTATATTATACTGTAGTGGTCACATAAAAACAAATAAAGTTGAAACACCACAAAGCAAGCTTTAAAAACAATTATTTCTTTTGATTTGCCATTCTTGTAAACATTGCTTTACATTCTAGTTATGAAACAATCATATCCTTGTTTATTTATTGGATTTTGTGTAAACCTACACAAGGTCTATCTGTGCTAGCCATTCCTAATTTTGAAGTAATAGACAAGACAGAAGGAAGCTAGTCAACACCATCCACCACCAGCTCTTGGGTTACTCCTGTTTGACCAAATAATGGAAGTTGAATGCAAGTGCATGATCTTTAAGTAAAATAAGTGTATTTTATTCTTTAGTGTAGCTTGATAATGATTACCATTATATATATTCTGTACGTCAGAAGAAAGCAGTTCATGATGACAGAGTATTCATATTTCACAGTGTAAATAAAGATGAAAAATGGCCTTCACTCACAGTAGATATTCTTATGCTATGCTCTGCATATTGACACGGTACCATTTTCATTTTGAAGTGTTCCCTGTAAAACTAGGAAAGAGATTGAATCCCCATCCAACCAAACATGCTCACCCTTTCAGCCATGGGACGTTATAATGTTACAGTCAATCCCACTATTCGTTGGTAAAAAAGTAGCCCAAGAGTTGGCAGTGGGTGGTGATCACTAATTCCCTTCCTTCTAGTCTTTCACTGCTAAATTAGGGATGACTAGTGCAAATAACCCTTGTGTAGCTTTGCGTGAAATTCAAAAAACAAACAATCCTTGTGTCTTTTATCTTTGTAACTATATATATATACCTGAAGAAGACAGACCAATGTTCTGTCGAAATATGTATTATATTCCACCACCAATAAAACTCTTCCTTATGCTTATAAATCATTATTTGCCTACCTATTAAAATATTAGATAATTTAGCCTAATTACATATCTAATAATATTTTTGAAGACATGGTTTGTTATACACATATGGTGTGAAAAAGTGAATTGGGCATAAGCTAGATAACTGAACATGAATTTGGAATTTTTATGATGTTTGATGAAATACAGCCTCTACTATTGTATTTTTATTGTGTGAAGAGACAGGCTGTTGGAAGGTTAATTTCTAGCTTTATATATGCTAATTATTGAAGGTTATGTCTCAAGTCAAGTGTGGGCAAGGTATTTTGAGCAGGATACTAAGATTAAACAAGCAGTTACCATGGTTACATCTGGTTAAACAAGTAAAAACTAGTTAGATCTGCAGGGGTGAATTTGAAGTAGAAGAAAACTACAGAGTTATTAAGAAGAAAATCGCATATTTAAAATGATGATATATTAAAAACTACCTGTCCTAGGAGAACAAAATTAATAACAAGCACGACAAGAACCATCAGTTTTATTCAGGAATGTTTTTGACAAGGTACAGAATGTTTCAAACCATATTGTACACTATATGCCTAAATAGATTTTCTCACAAACTAACAATATTTACAGTTTTCTTCTTTCTCCCTCTCTCTCAAAAATATGAGATCAGTAATTTCAATTAAAAGGAAATATAGCATGTAGGATCATGCAAGTGTTGTTTGACTGTGCTATCAAGATAATGGTAAATTTACTGTAGTCAAAAAGAAATTCCAAAGGAAAAATGGATACCCAAATCCTTACAAGTACTATAAGGATGATAAAGTTAATTTGTACATAGATGCAACTGGAACTGTAAAAGATTCTCCTTGTTCTAGATGGACATCTGTTTCTGTTGAAACAGTAACAGAAATTACATAGAACATCTGAGACCACGCTAAGAACCATCTTTTTTGGGGTCAGTAAGTAAAAGAGGTGAACCTTGAAAAGTTGATCTGTCACTAACTATACGATGGGAAATAAAAAGAAAAACACTGAAGCTCAAAGCTTATCATTTTAAGATCTGCATGCCATTAAGGATGGTGATCCCTTCGCCAACTTGACTTTGTATACTGGATTTTGGCCAGGTTGATGGCTGATGAAACATGACTGGAAAACATCTATTAGACAGAGAATTTCTACTTTATCTCAGCAGATATGCTCATGAAAATTCACAAATACATTTATTTAGAAATCTACTCATATTCTTTATGTTATAGTATGATGCAGATTAACCAGAACTTTTATCATCAAACCTTATTTCTTTGAAGTTTTTAGTCTACCTCATATTCAACAACTGAATTTCATGTTCTGTTCTTTATTCACAGTTTCATAATTGAAGATGTAGTGATAGTACACTCACCCTCTGGTTAAAAATTGGTTTTTCTTAGCTTAGGGGCAAGCGATTCTAGCATTCTAACTACCAATTTTTCTTGAGAATGAAAGATGAGGTGGAAGAAACTGGAGGTAGACATGACTCACATTTGTTTCATTAACACTGCTCGTGTAGGTTTTAACATTAAAGTATTATTTTATTCAACCACAGAGCCTTGTAGTGCCTTATCCAATACATCCCTGGTCACTCCTCAGACATGTAAACTCATATGCAAGGTGCTCAGTAGATGTTATTAGAATTTAAGGTTGAAGAACCCTTTTAACCTAGATTGTTTTAAAGGCACATTTTAACTGAACTTGTGGATATAGCTGTTTGATAAATTTCTTCATCATGTATGAAACTGTGCCTAAGTAAGGTATAACTAAAGTAACGATTTTCTTCAGAACATCTAACATAACAAACGAGATATTTAGTTTTTTCAGTTTTTGTGTGGATTATTCTATTTAGGAATGACAATGAAAAAATGTCTTCAATGCATTTGTTCAATTTTCTCAACTACTGCTTCAAACAGTTTTGTTTTTCTAATATTTTAAACCGTGCATAACATATTTTCTTTAAGCTGTCTAGTTGAATGTGAGGTTATGAAGAATCACAGCTTAGAATCCTAGAACATCTTGCCATTAAGCTGAGAGAACCAGCTAATAACTAAAAGATAAGTGCACTGCCACTACATCTTCAACTGTAAAAATGTAACAAAGGAAAATAACATGAATTTCTTTGAAGCTGTTGAAACTGGCCATACCCAATGTTTTGGTAAGAAGAGTCCATTATGATAAAATGTTTGAAGATCATATTATTCCATACCTCATGGAATGAAACACTGAGAGACCACTCTTCAACAAGACATCTGCTGACCTGTTAAAAGGCTTCTAACATACATTTTCAGTTAATACAGTTGAGAAATAGATGATAATAGAAAGGAATATGGGAGTCAAACAGATTTTGAGGCATTACACCAGAAGGAGTTTTTAAAATAACATTTAGGAGCAGAGCAAGAAAGAAAGACTAGATGTTCGTGAAACTTGTGAAAGATGTGGAAAGACCTGCCCAGTAAACCAGAAACTCCACATGGAATGATGGATTCATTGGCAAATGACCATTTCATAGATGCCACAGTGGATGAGGATATGCAAATTAGGTTAATGCAAAGTATGTATGCAACTTTAAAGGAAGCTTTCCAGTTGGCAATGGATGAAACTTGAATCAATTAAAGTTGTAAATAAACAACTTAAAAGCACCATTCAAATATCTATGAGATTGTCAGATCAAATAGTGTGTAAACATAAACTCCTCTGATGGAAGTCAGCTAGAAGAACTCAAAAAATTAATCAGACATCTGGTTACTTAGAAAGGAAGAAGTAAAGCACAGGAAAGTAGTTGTTTCAACTGTAACTTAAAAGGATATATTGTCAAGAGAATCAGACAATAGCCTAAACAAAGTAAAAAACTGGTTACAAAGGACGAAAGAAAAAAGGAAATGATACAAACATGAAAACATGGACATTACAGCTGAGGTTGTGAAGAATAAACAGATAATCATAAATACAAAACATGATATCCTGGAAGACACCAGGAAAGAGTACATATTTGGAATAGACTCATATGGAAACATGGATGTAAGATTAGACTTGTTTCAAACAATTTCACATTTCATGACATTTAAAACCTTAAGCATTATACAAAAATTACAGCACCAGAGGCTGAATATAAGTTTCAAGTAACAACATAAACAGAAACATAAGATAATGAAGACAACTAATCTAAATTGCAAAAGAGCAGAATCCAGAGAGACAGGTGGTTTTAAACCAAAGGTCATACATTATGCTTGCCTTAGGGAATAAGTTACAAGAAGCAAGACTACCTGCTAAGAGTCTTAGTTTCTTTTCAAGACCACTTTCAGAATATTACCAAGGTTGGAGCCACCAGTTCACTCCCTTGACCTTTTAGCTGAAGATACCCCCCCCCCCCTCCAATGAAAAAATTGCTATGTAAGTCACAAAAAAGAAACCCAAACACTTTTGGTAACAGGACAGTTTAGGGGCAGTAAATTAATAAAGATATTTTGTTTAATTAATCAAAATATTGATTATATTTTGTGTCTCACATTTAATCAATGATTTTAATGTCTACATTTATGAATATTAATATTGTTAATTGTCAGAAGTTAATTCTTTGTTAATTAGGAAACTTATTTATAATGCTCTACTTCTTCTTTGTTATTATGTAACAAGACCTTCATAATCTAGGGAGGGGCAGTGCTGTAGGCTTTTTTTAGTTTAAATGTTTGTATTGTTTTTTTGGCTAAAGAGTTTGGATATTTTGTGATGAGTATACAGCTTCATTGCTAAATTTTTCTTCACAGTTCATGCAAAGATTAAAATGACATAAAATGCAAGTTTATTTTTATGAATATTTGTTTTGTGTTTTCAATGAAGTAATAGAGATATGAGAAGTACAACTGTTTATGTATAAGAAAATTAGCAAGTAGGTAGAATTTCTATTGATTCATTATTTATTTGCAAAGTTAGGCTTTGTAAAAAAAAAATTTAGATTGCAGTCAAAAATTAAATACTTTCATTATCATTAAGCATACTGGATTTTACATTATTTTTTATAAAATAATCCAACAAAGCTTACTCAACAATAAAAACCATTACAACAATATATCATAACATATATTATTATTATTATCCATCATATTTTGTGTCAAGCATTTAAGTACATCTATTACTTCCACAAAAAATTTCAGTTGGACAATTAATCACGTAACTGTAAAGCTGGTTTCTCATGTACATATTATAGTTTAGTTTAATTTGATGTAAAAAAAGCATGTGCATATAGTTTATGACTCTTTTATCTCACTTTGAAGACCAGGAATCATTCTGTCTCTAAACTCTTCCTAGAATAGTATGACCAAAACTGTAATATACATGAAGTCTCTTCAAAGCTTTATGAAAGTTCATAGTAGTTTTCTTACTCTCATTGTCAAAAGTTTTACAAATACACCCAAAAACTGTCTGATCTTTTCATTATAGCCAAACAGTCAGCTGAAAGTTTCTGGTTGCTGACAGAAACAAGTTCATTGATATGAGAGACTAATACCATGGAATATCCAACTGGATAAATGTGCCTTTCTCACAAAAGGGCTGAAGATCTTATGATTGTGAGGAACTATTTGTTTTTTAATTAATATTTCAAGTAACCAATGACAAGAGATGCTATTTGATATTATGTTTTGAGTACGTAGAAAGTTGAAACAGCTGAAGAACAGTATGCATTACTAGGGCTTCAATCCAGGGCCTTTGGCTCACACTGTTTTATTAGGACTAGCATTTTGCTTAAGTCCAAAGCAAACAACTCTCCACCTGAATCATTACATGTTTGATGTATATACCACATCCAGTTAGAAAATAATTAATAAATAGTGAGCCTCTGATTTCAGGAAAGAATTCTTTTAGAAATTGAGAGGTTGGTGAGAGAAAAAATTGATTGGCTCATCTAAATTGGAAAATACTGATTAGACCTGGGAAATTATTTCTAGCTCAATCAAACTAGCTTAAAAAGAACATCCTCCTTCAAACTAAAAAAACCCTTTTCTTACATGGATAAATAGTGGAATTAACTTTTTAGTAAATACAAAAAAGCATAGCTTAGAAAAACATAAAACTTCCCTTCCCAGAATCCTTTATATCAATCTTCTTTGACAGGATACTAAAAATGACATATTATTCTAATGACACCTTCTCAATGATTTATACAAAATTGGTATAATAACAGCAAATTAAGCTTTTCACTGGTTCTGGGTCAGATCTTATACCCATAAAAAACAGAGGGTGCTGAAATTCACCAAAATAAATAAATAGGGATTTCTGATTTTTTTTAAGTTTATATCATAACTTAAACCAAGGGATCAATTAGTCCTACTATTTCAGTAAGATGGTTGTCCATGAATCAGCCATTTATAAGGAATCTCACAAATTGATATTGATTTAGTGTAGAAATTAAAGCAGACACAGCAACCTTGGATTGAGCCTACTAGTACTTGTATTCTGTATCCTGCTCCAGCAATATGTCTGTAAAAACAATAGCACTCCCTAAAATTCTATTAACTTTACTACTACCATGCTTACTTAAAATACAAAATGAAAGTTAATAAATACTGATTTTAAAATCTTCCAGTGATTCAAAAGTGATCCTCATGATGGAGAAAAAGAACATTACCAAAATATTAATTGTTTATTAATATTCAAACTAATGGGGAAAAACATACATCTTAGCTGATTAGCTTTGCTGAGGTGAGGAACAGCTGTCCTTAGATTTCACTGGAAATTATTTAATTAAAAAAAAAATATTATAGGATGAAGAAATGCAAGGTTGACAGTCAAATACATTTAAGCAAGTAGACAGGAGAAAGAAAAGAACTGTTACCTCTCTCATATGTTAGATCTGTTTTAGTAATTACATGAGAAGTACAGTTATGAAACTAATGTATCAGATGTTGTTATCAGTGTTCATAAAATGTGATTATGAATTAGTCTGTGTACTGCTAATGTAAGAATTATAACCTGGTTCAAAAGTTTCCCCAAACTACATGTCCAGTTTCAGTTATTCTGTGGTCACTATTGTTGCTGCAGAGCAGAGGTGTTCCTAGGTTCTGGCACATGGGACCTGTGCCCCAATTCTATTTCACAGTGATTTGAATCCCTAGTTGGTGTCTTGAAAAAGCTGAATAGAAAATCGTGATTGATATCACACTGAAATGCTGAAAATTCCCATGCCCATGGGCCCATGCCCTGAATCTTTTAAGCACTTTTAAGTGATATCTCTGCTTCATAGCATGAAGAACATCACTATACACACAAAAGGTTTCATATTTCAACATGAGCACCTCTTAACTTCCATCATAAAGTTACACTGTTTTTAACTAACATTAGCAATTAGCCAATCATAACCACCAACAGAATTTAATATGTGATGTGTATTACATCATAAATCAGTGACACTCAATATTTTTTATTGAATCTTGTATTGCAATGAATGTATATGCAATTAGGTGGAAAAAGTGCAGTTTTCCAAATATCTACAATCTAAATTTGACCCAGATGAATAACCAGGAGTTTGAGATCAAAAACAGACTTTTCAGTTCAAGTTTTCAAAAGCAAAAATAACTTACATGAGTGAAGTTAGTACAACACAATCTTTCATTAAGTAATGTAGTGCAATATCAGAGGTGTTGGAACTGGAGGTGCTTTAGCACCCCCACTTTTACATATTTGGCTTATGTAGCAACTTTAAATTACATTATTATACTATCTGCATGTTTAGCCAAGCACCCCCACTTTGCAACTCCTTCCTACACCAATGAATAATGTTAAAAAACATGGTAATAACAGCTGAGGTGGGTCAAAAATATTTCTTACCCTGTAGAACTGCTCATAGCGGTCATGCATGCAACATCACAAAAACTTCCTGTTTCATCCAACAGTACCATACTGGACTTCAAATATTCCATTCCATACAAATACAAGATTTAGTAATGCTTTACCTGTTGTCAATGGTATAAACATCACCTTTGGCAAAAGACATGGGTCCAAAACTTAATGGCTGTTCAGTATCTCAATATTCCTTACTTATTCACATTGCTCAGATGATTTACAGGTTCAGATAACATAATATTAGAAAACAAATTTGTCATTTTTTGCCCAAGATGAATGTAATCCTTTGACATCCAATATAGCAAAGTAAATTAAAAACAATGTGACTTTTTTGACATCTGTACAAGACCTCCCTATATTTAAATAATTTCAACATTATTATTTTTCTAACATTTCTTTTCGAAATACTGTGGTTTAGGCTTACTAATGTTTTACATTTATTTCATTATAATATTTGAAGTTTTTGACTAAAATAATCCCAAAGAATAAGATACATCTCCACTCACCTGAATTTGTTAAGAATCTAGGTTTCATCTTGAACCACTGCCTTACTGACATGGGCATCACTAAGTAGGATTAGGGCCTCTGAAACTCCACAGTAAACATTGGAAATACCTCAGAAATAATTAAAATACAATCATATTTTAAGCACTTCAACAAATCATAATTTCCAAAGTTACTTATGGAGCCACATATCTTTGAAATATAATTCTGTAATTCCAAATATATAAAATGATTTTATGCCATACTCTTGTTACTTCCATTCCATAGCTATATCTGATAGTGTTTGTCTTGTAGTTATAACAAATATAAATCAGATAATTTGATTTACAGAAGTTTTTTAAACATTCCTTTTCCACAGAAATGTATTTGTTCAAAACTAATACTAATAAGGCCACGTCTACTTTAACTCAATATGGTCATAATAACACGTTTTTTTTTGTTTTGTTTTTTTTATCAGGATATCTCCTACCTTTGATGGAAAGTTAAGCTTTAATTTCCTATATAAAAACATCTCTTACTTTTATTTTTAAAAAAATGTGGTAAGAATAACTGTTTAGGAGGATTTTTCATATGGAATTGAAAACTAAACAATACTTTCTACATATAAAATTAGAACTAAAAGTTTAACTTTAAAGTTCTATATAACTTTATAAACATCATCTATCAGGTTATTTAATTAAGTTATTATTCCAGATTAATTTATACCAGAGACTGAATACTGATTTACTTTTATGTAATTTTAACCTGAGACGCCTAACTCCATTAAAAGTTAAAAAGTAAAATACTATTGAAACTTAATGTAGATAACTTTCGGTAATAATAAACAAAGATCTTCCTATTGATAGACGCATATGCTATTTCAAACTTTGCTTATTTTAAGGACTATAATTTCTTAGCCCCTCATTGGTTTGCGCCATGTTCGATTTCTGTTAGGGGCTTCTTTAAAATTGCCAAGGTGTTATTAAGATCTTTATTTTAAAATTTACCACGTTGATTTCACAAATGTTATAACAGTTAAATTCAAAACATTGTTACAACAGCGGGGGTCACATGACCCTAGTAACACGTCATATTCTCGAAGGTTCGTGAATCCTCGAGTGTTTACTAGATTTGCGGTATTCTTGTATATATAAGACGGCCAAGAAGTGACGGCAACAAGGTAATTGAACTGCAGACAGAGAGAGACTGACGATTGAGTCGAGCACATGAGTCGTTCGTTGTGAATTACAGCGTTTGTTATAGCGTGACTGTGGAAATTAAGTGTATTGCAAAGTTGTATTCAGAAAGAATAAACCAGTTTTATTTAAAAAAGGACTTGTATCGGTAAAGTTTCTTCGGAAAGAATTTTTACGGAAAATTAACTAACGACCAGAGACGTAACAATATGAAACAAACGTGTCTGTGGTTGTGACTACTTGAAATTTATTTTCTAAACAGGAAATCGAAACAAAATGGTCAAACGCCCACAAGTGTTATGAAGAAAAGAAGGAATCTTGGTGTAATAGTCGATCAGTCTCTAAAACCATCCAAGCAATGTTATGTTGCTAGTGGTATGGCAAATAGGATTTTAGGTTGTATGTACGGAAATATTAAACACAAATCTAAAGAGGTTATAATTTGGAATATTGTGTTCAGTCTTGGGCTCCTTACCTTAGGAAAGACATTGAATTG